CATACACACACAAGGTGATACACATACAAACACTGAAACAGATGCAGATACACAGATATGCACACTTACACACATGCAGTTATACATACATACACAGACTGACACACATTTGCAGATACTCAGACACACACACTGACACATACACACACAGATACACATACTGGCAACATACAGATACTGAAAAGCACCAGTGGGCCTGGGGTCGGGGGAAATTGGTGCTGGCAGCGAGGCCACAGGGCAGCTGCTTTGGGCTCCCACCCCCCAGGAGTAACTGGGCCAGGCACAGCTGCACCAATTACCCTGCATTAAATAAAGCCCTGACTCTAAAAGGAAACAGGGACAGATATTGTCCTAGAGTGAGGAAAGACAGGGCTGGTCAGTAGTCAGCATGTAAATGTTCCTGGCAACTTAGGAGTTTTTCTCCCATTAAGAAGTCTAGAATATGTTTAGTTGAACTGAGAGGAGGAGAAATATCTTTAGTGTTATAGCAGATGGTTTTTAACAGCCATTAGGCTAGCAAAAGATATGGAATGGGTTGTTAATTTGTTAAGTATAGTTCTTTGAAGAAAAGAAAAAATTAACAGACAAAGGTAATGTTTTAATCTGTATTAATGCTTTTTAACAGGTGTCATTGAACCAAGAGAGTGTTATTAACATTCGCGATGGCAATTTGTTTTTCTCCCAACATAAGAATTCAGATCCTGAGGATCAGGACATTGAGAATGAAGCTTTTAAAATGAAGCAATAAAGCCTTACTCAATACCATAAATAAAATAAATCAAGCACTGCAAACCTCTATCACTTTCAAGGAAATAAACACTCCGTTCAGTGAATCACTGGACCACAGCGCATTGCTTGGAAAAAATAAATTCCATGATGAAAAATATATGTTTAAAGAAAAGATAATTGCTTTTATTGAGAAATAGCTAGTAAGAATAAAATAACAGGTAAAAACTAATAAACACAAGACAGGTTGGGATAGAACACTGGACACACATATATACCGTAACTAGTTACTAATAAACAGAACTTTCTTGAGAGTCACCTGGCTCTACCGCCTTCTCCCGCCCTGATGTCAGCAATGCTACACATTGATAAGGCTGGAGACTTTGCCCCTGCACCTTTTCATGTTTGGTCTAGCAACGTTAGGACTCAATGTTCCAGAGAGATGATCATATGTGCTACACACCTTATTGACGTATAGAGCTTTTGTGGCCTTTCTACAGGATACGAGATTTAGCCCCTAAGCTAGGGGACTCGAGGTTCCCCTTGGGATACTTCACAAATTATCAGACAGTCAGGAAAGCTGGAGTTGCAATTTTATTTGCCAATACCATCTCATTTAAATGCACGGCCGAGCAAGCTGATCCCATGGGGAGGTTTCTTTTCCTCAAGGGGTCAATCATTGAACACTTATGTACCTTTGCTTGCACACATATGCACATAACAGGGGACAACATTTATTTTCAAAGAAGACGCTGGTGACCTTGGAGAAATTCAGAGTAGATCTTCTGATAGTAGCAGGTGACCTTACTCAGCTTCCCACTTAATCTGGTAATGGACACATCCCTGGGACATAGCTCGCAGCCTCCACATTACTTACATTCTGCAGTAGGTTCATTACGCTCAGCTGGATTAATGGATTGTTGGATGGTGATGCACCAAGACTTCTCATTTTACTCTGCAGTGCACAAAAGGTGCAGCTGACTAGATTACATAGTTGTGGCTCAGGAATACCTACCTCTGTTGATTTTAGCAGACATTCTGCCCTCATGTGGTCTGACCACTCACGTGTGTTGGCCAGATTGCACTCTCTGCTGTTCCGACCTCAAAACCATCAATGGAAGCTAAATGAGGGGACATTGAAGGATTCTGATTAATGGCGAGAATATGGCAGAATCTGACACACTCTTTTGCAGACAATGTCTCTGTGGAGTTGCCTCCATTAACAAAGTGCAAGGACACCTGATCATTGTCTGCACACAGTGGAAGAGTTACACACCAACATAACCACTGTCAGGTCTGTGTCTCTGCCTCTGAACCACATTCGGTTCTTGCTTTCTGCATGGAAGTTCATTCCTGCCCTGTCTAGTATCCAGCACTGGGGGCTGGACATTAATTGGAATTACTCCTGATACACCAGTTGTGGATAGTCTCGTTAGCCAGGTATAAAACACTGCCTCTCCCAGAAGGCAGTGTCAGTTCCTTGACTCTGGTTATCGGTTTGCTGTCTCCTGTTACCCAGTGTATCTCTTGACCCAGGCTTGTTGTTTCGTTTACTCTAACTTCTGGCATCCTCTGACCTCGGCTCTCTACTGGTTTATCCTGATTTCTGACCTTTGGCTTACCAACAACGATTCTCCTGTTTATGTCTGTATCTGCACTGCAACTTTGAGCATTATCCTGCACAGCCCCCGTGCACCGACTCACAGGCCAGGTGAATTCTCACCTGACCACCTCGGCCTGTGTTTTCTTGCAAGGGTGAGCATATATCTCTGCCTGCCGGACTCCAAACCCAGGTAAGCCCTGACAACCACCCTGGAACGCAACCATAAAACGACTCAGATGGACAACTCTTACAAAGACCTCTTAGAGATGCGATAACGGCTAAAGAACATCCTATCTCAGAAGCACATGCACACCATTAGATACTCCCACATATTTTTTTTACAAATATTCTAGCAAGTGCGGCCTACTTCTTGTCAGAACACTCCAGAAAAAGAGACGGTTATGCCATATCTTGATAGTTAAAACACAGGGATCAAAACTAACCCAGCACCAATATGTAATTCTAACAGAGTTCCAGGACTTCTATTCCTAATTTAATACTCTCACACCTGACCGCACCTGAGAAGCAGAACAGCATTGTGCCCAAATAATAACAGCATACCTCAAAAGACCAAGAACATACCATCGGATTTAGCAGAGGAACACGACAAACATATTTCGATTGAGGAACTTCAATTCACTCTCAAACTTTCTAAATCAAATAAGGCCTTCTATGGTTTCTGAAGCGACTAGGTGGGGTGAGCCTACCATCTATCCAAATGTATTAAAGAGTTATGCACTTACTCAAGTTGACTGAATGGCACGTCCGAGATACAACTAAACAATGGCTGCACCTAGAGAAAGTAATAGCAGATGGTAGACAGTTGCCATCTCTTTGGACATCCCTTTATAGGAGCGACCCTCAGTGTCTGAAATGCCATTGGACTACGGTGTCACGTATTCATCCGCTTGTAGAAATGTGGTTAATGACATTTACTGTCCACACAGGAAAAGTTGTGCCGAGCAGCAACCTAATCCACAGAAGGTTTAATGCTGAGCAGTAATTGTGCAAATGAAACCTGGTCTCATGTATTCATCCGCTTATAGAAAAGTGGTTAATGACATTTACTGTCCACACAGGAAAAGTTGTGCCGAGCAGCAACCTAATCCACAGAAGGGTTAATGCTGAGCAGCAATTATGCAAATGAAACCTGGTAACTGACTTTGGGGTCAAAGGCCGGTTACAGCCTATCAGAAAGAAAGGAGGGGTATTTAGGCCCAGTTCTCAGCCTGCTCAGTGCCCTGTCGTGGTTTCCCTTGTGGTTGTCCGAGAGCGCGTTCCTGTTTATAGTTTTCTACCTGTTTTTGACTTTGGCTTTGTTTATTGACTTCTCTATATTCTGGTATCCTGACTCCTGGCTTTCCTCATCGCTGTGTCCCTTTCTGTGTTCCCTGACCTCGGCTAGTATTTTTGACTATTCTTTGTACGTTAAATCCGGCCATTCTAAGGACCGGTAATACGTTACTTATTTGTCATCCGTGCTGTACAGTTCTACGTGCTGGATCAAACAGTAATCCTGACATTACGACATAGCCATAGATCCTGTAGAACTGTGTCAGCACATAGCTGCTTGCGAGAGGAAATTAGAGGAGAATGATCACCGTATGGATCAATTCACTCAGGCTTTAAGTACGCTTCTCGCTAGAACGGAGCATCTGCAGCCTGCAGCGTCTCCTCCTATAGCACCTCTACCCTGTGTACCTCCACCCACTGTTAATATGACTCCTAGCATCTCCTTATCACCATCCCTACAGTTTGATGGCAATATCCAGGAATGCAGGGGTTTTCTTAATCGGGTGGAGTACCATTTTGAGGCCTCACCAGGGTCAGGGTCATTCCCCACGGACAGAGCAAGAATTGGTTATCTAATGAATCAATTAAAGGGCAAGGCCCTTGCCTGGGCTAATCCGTTGTGGGAGAGTAATCGGAGCATAGCTCATAATTACCAGGAATTCCTTGCCGAATTCAAGCTCACGTTTGAGCCATTGGGTAGAGAGGATGACGCCTCCACTGCCCTAATGCACATCAGACAAGGTAACCGGTCTATCTCGGATTATGCTATTGAATTCCGTACCTTAGCTTCCGAGGTAGACTGGACTAACAATGGGTTAATCTCAGCATTCAAAAAGGGACATATGATAACTAATTGTCCAGTGCGTCCGGAAAACTTCCGCACCTAAGAACCTTAAGGGGACAGATCTTAGGTGTGATGGAGTTGTCCTCTAACAAAAACAAAAGTAGATTCCTCCTTGAGGTATCGATTTCCCTTGATAACAAGAAGTTTTCTTGCAGTGCCCTAATGGACTCAGGTGCTGCTGGAAATTTTATTGATGTCCAGTTTATTAGGGGTAATGAGATACCGGTCAGGGAGAGACCTACGCCGCTAGCTGTAGAGGCTATTGATGGTAGACCACTCACACAACCGCTTATAACCCATGAAACTGTCCCTATTACGATCTCCATTGGGGCCTCCCATAGGGAGGAGATGACGTTTCAGGTTATTACTTCTCCATCATGTCCTATCATATTAGGGTTTCCGTGGCTGAGTAAGCACAATCCCTATATTGACTGGGCTAATGGGGAGATATTAGAATGGGGTAAAGAGTGTATGGGGAGATGTATAAAACCAGTACTAAAGAGATTGGATACTACTGACCTTCCCACTACCACTCCCCAAACTCCTGGAGTTCCCATACAATACCGAGAACTTCAGGAGGTGTTTAACAAGGCTCAATCTGATGTATTGCCTCCCCACAGAGCATATGACTGTGCCATTAACCTGTTTCCAGGTGCTATGCCACCTAAGGGGGCAGTTTATGCCTTATCTACCCAGGAGAGTAAAATAATGGAGGAATACATCAAAGAATCCTTGAGCAAAGGGCACATAAGAAAGTCATCCTCACCAGCTGGTGCAGGATTCTTTTTTGTTGAGAAAAAGGGCGGTGAGTTACGCCCTTGCATAGACTACAGGGCACTTAATAAAATCACTGTAAAAAATGCATACCCTACTCCACTCATTTCCGAATTGTTCGATAGACTTCAAGGAGCTAAAGTATTTACTAAGCTTGACCTTAGGAGCGCTTACAATTTGGTTAGAATTAAAGAGAATCATGAGTGGAAGACGGCATTTAATACCCGTAGTGGACACTATGAATATCTGGTAATGCCATTTGGGTTATGCAACGCCCCGGCCGTATTCCAAGACTTTATAAATGATGTACTCAGGGAATTCATTTACTCATTTGTCTTGGTTTATTTGGACGATATTTTGGTGTATTCCCCTGATCTTCAGACTCACCACTCCCATGTGAAACAGGTTCTGCAGACGTTGTTGAAAAATAAACTTTATTGTAAATTAGAAAAGTGCATATTTGACCAGCCTGAAGTCCACTTTTTGGGTTACAACATCTCTGCATCGAGATTTCAAATGGATCCTAAAAAACTAGAGGCTGTACTACACTAGCCATTACCCTCTGGTTTAAAAGCCATTCAAAGGTTTATTGGTTTTGCCAACTATTACAGAAGATTCATCAAGGGATTTTCTTCTGTAATAGCCCCAACCACAAATATGACTCGCAAAGGGGTTAGTAGCACGGTATGGTCCAAAGAGGCTGTGAATGCTTTTGAGACTCTTAAACAAAGATTTGCCTCTGCGGACATACTAAAGCATCCTGACACTAGTAAACCTTTTATATTGGAGGTTGATGCATCCGAGACAGGGGTAGGGGCTGTTCTCTCTCAGAGAGAAAGCCAGGGAACACCATTGCATCCTTGTGGCTACTTCTCCAGAAAGATGTCTCCTGCTGAGCGCAACTACGATATTGGCAATAGAGAACTGTTGGCCATTATTCTTGCCCTCAAGGAGTGGCGACATCTTTTGGAGGGTTCCAAGGACCCCCTGTTGATCATAACCGACCACAAAAATCTGGCATATATAGGGGATGCCAAACGTTTGTCTTCCAGACAGGCTAGATGGTCACTGTTCCTTTCACGTTTTAACTTTCTCATTACTTATAGACCTGGTTCTAAAAATACCAAGGCTGATGCCTTGTCCAGGCAATTTGATAATGAGTCAGCTCCGAACAGGTGACATCTCCTATTATTCCACCAGAGTGTATTATTGCCACTACTGTCCTCTCACTGTCTTCTCCACTGCTTGGCACCATACTGGAGGCCCAGCCTCAGGCGCCCAGTGGTAAACCGTGTGATAAACTGTTCGTTCCCCTATGTGAAAGGGTTAATATCATGAAAGTGTTCCATGACAATATAACTGCTGGACACCCGGGCATCAATAAGTCCACTGCCGCGATCACTAGATCATTTTGGTGGGATTCACTCAGGAAAGATGTAAAGGAGTATGTGCAGGCATGTTCTGTGTGTGCAGTTTCTAAGGTGACTCATGCACTTCCTTGTGGCCTGTTGCAGCCTCTTCCTGTTCCTGAGATTCCATGGTCCCACTTATCCATGGACTTTATTGTTGAGCTTCCTAGCTCTGCTGGGTTCACTACTATTCTCATGGTTGTAGACCGATTTTCTAAGATGGCTCACTTCATTCCTCTCAAGAAGTTGCCATCTTCGCAAGATTTGGTCCTAATTTTCATACGTGAAATTGTCCGTTTGCATGGCATCCCCCACAATATTGTGTCTGATAGGGGCTCTCAGTTTGTGTCCAGGTTCTGGAGGGCGTTCAGTAAACAATTGGGGATTGATCTCTCCTTCTCCTCCTCCTACCATCCACAGACCAATGGTACAGCTGAGAGGGCTAACCAGTCATTAGAAGTTTATTTGCGTTGTTTTATTAATAGCACACAAGACAATTGGTCCGAACTACTCCCGTGGGCCGAGTTCGCTAGAAACAATGCTGTTCATGACTCCTCTGGGCACAGTCCATTTTTTGTCAATAATGGTAGGCATCCTACGGTTCTCCCTGCGGTATTTTCTGATACTGCCATTCCTGCTCTGGATGAGCGTCTGGCCTCCATTCGGGATACCTGGGTTAAGGTTCAAACTGCTCTAGGGGCTGCTGCTGAATGCTTCAAACATTTTGCTGATAAGCGTAGGAGTGCCAACCCGGTGTACCAAGTGGGGGACCGGGTTTGGTTGTCATCTCGCAACATCAAGCTTAAGGTCCCTAGCATGAAGTTTGCCCCCAGATTCCTTGGTCCCTATAGAGTGCTTCGTAGGATCAATCCAGTGTCTTACTCTCTGGCTCTTCCTGCATCTTTAGGGATTCCCAACACTTTTCATGTGTCCTTACTCAAACCTCTTGTCTGCAATAGATATACTGTTCCTTGTGTTCCTCCCCCTCCGGTGGTGGTGGGTGGTCAGGAAGAGTATGAGGTATCTTCTATCGTGGATTCTAGGTTTTCTCGGGGCACTTTACAGTACTTGGTTGTTTGGAAAGGTTACGGTCCTGCTGATCGTTCTTGGGTTTCGGCTCCTGACCTGCATGCGGGCCGTAAGATCCGCGCTTTTCACGCTAAATTTCCTCTCAAGCCTGGTCCTGTCCGCCCGGTGGGCGTTCTTCAGGTGGGGGGTAATGTCACGTATTCATCCGCTTATAGAAATGTGGTTAATGACATTTACTGTCCACACAGGAAAAGTTGTGCCGAGCAGCAACCTAATCCACAGAAGGTTTAATGCTGAGCAGTAATTGTGCAAATGAAACCTGGTCTCATGTATTCATCCGCTTATAGAAAAGTGGTTAATGACATTTACTGTCCACACAGGAAAAGTTGTGCCGAGCAGCAACCTAATCCACAGAAGGGTTAATGCTGAGCAGCAATTATGCAAATGAAACCTGGTAACTGACTTTGGGGTCAAAGGCCGGTTACAGCCTATCAGAAAGAAAGGAGGGGTATTTAGGCCCAGTTCTCAGCCTGCTCAGTGCCCTGTCGTGGTTTCCCTTGTGGTTGTCTGAGAGCGCGTTCCTGTTTATAGTTTTCTACCTGGTTTTTGACTTTGGCTTTGTTTATTGACTTCTCTATATTCTGGTATCCTGACTCCTGGCTTTCCTCATCGCTGTGTCCCTTTCTGTGTTCCCTGACCTCGGCTAGTATTTTTGACTATTCTTTGTATGTTAAATCCGGCCATTCTAAGGACCGGTAATACGTTACTTATTTGTCATCCGTGCTGTACAGTTCTACGTGCTGGATCAAACAGTAATCCTGACATACGGCTCTGCTAACGCCCATACTATTCAACCCAACGATTGTGGGAGGTTTAAAACCTGGCGAGATACGAAACTTTAGAAACACAGACTGGGCATATTTGCAACAATTGTGCAATTCAACCTCCTTGCAAGCTCTTCCAGATCTGATCAACGACAGAGCATTGTCTGGCTTAGATAGGCTTCGAAATTTCCAGGTGCAGGCATTCTACTCGTCGCTAAATGGAAAACATCTGGTCCACAGAGAGTTGACAGCCTTTGAAACACTATGCGCTAGCTGAGAACATCTCACTAGAGGCATCTTGGTCCTTTATGTTTTATTGTTGACTGCGGCACCGATGACTCCCGCCAAATACGCTGCCAGATGGTAGCAAGACACTGGGTTTTGACAGACCAACAGTGGGAGAAGATCCATGTATTGATCTTTCAATCTGCAGTAAGCTCCAAATTACAGGAGCTGAACTATAAACTACTCATGGGTTGGTGCCGGAGAAAAGTTACACCAGATGTATGAGCAGACTGCAGACTGCATCTCCAGACAGGACATGGGTATGCATATCCACATGTGGTGGAATTGCCTGTGCATAACCCAATTCTAGCAAAGCACATATCAGGAAAAACACACTATCCTTGACTCTGAGCTGCACCGACAGCCATTGCCAATGCTGTTACACCACACTAAGCTGTGCCTTTACTCATAAGAAATCCTTAACGAAGCACTTCCTCAATTCTACCAAGTCCCTGATCCCTGCCAGATGGTGTACGACCAAAGTGGAGGACTTATACAAAATGGAGACAGTCACAGCCTCTCTACATGGACATAGGGAAAAAATGTGCCCAGACGGTGAGAGTATGTTTGTAGACGTACACATATAGGAGACTAGGAGACCATGGAATTTTATATGGAGACCTTGCAGTGGCCTGTGTGAAGGTCAAGGTGGAGTGATGCTCCTCTCTCTACACCTCTCCCCACTCACTCTCTTATTGTTTCTTTTTTTTTTGTCTCTTCCTCACTACTCACCCTTTTCGCTTTTCTCATCTGCAAACTCTCACCTCATTCTCCCTCACACTTTTGCGCGCCTCCCAAACATATCTTCTTTTTGTCCATCTTTCCTCCCTCTGTTAATCCCTTCCCCTCTCTCAACGTAGTTTGAATTACTGCAATAACTGCATCCTGGAGTATACTGAGGGTGCAATGCACAGGGACGACACCTGCCTTGTCCAAAACAAGGTAATGTGCATTAAACCCTAGGTGCTGCATCACCTCTTGTTGAATTGTACAATTTATTTCCAAGACTATCAAATTGTACTTATTATGATGTTTACTTACTATACACACATTGTACAACCCTGAACCTCTTGTTTATGAACTGAAAATAAAGTTTAAAAAAAAAAAAAACAACAAAAACCCACACTTGTACATAAGACTACCAACCTCTTACTATATCAATGTACATTCATATGACTAAATGAAATTGCAAAAACAAATAGGAATGAAGAAAAATCTGAAACAAATATATTTAAAAAATTCTAAAAAAAAATACTTTATTAATTCTCAGGAAAGGTAGCCTTTTTGTGTAAATTTTTTATTTTTTTTTAAATATCAATTTCATTAATGCATTTCACACGTAGAAAAAATGTATTAGTGTAGATGTATAGTAAATGAAGGTTATGAGCAAATAGGGGAACTTATCAAGATATCACATACAATAGAGGAGATATATCAAATTGTCAGTAAATAATCTTTACTTTTAAAGTAAGTTTATTTTCCTGG